GCCAGGTCCATCCCATTCCTAAATCATTTAAGTCAGAATTCAATCCAAGTTTCCATTTTCTGTGCCGCCCTGTGCACATCGATCTCTATTCCATTCTATAATTCATAATTTTACAATCCCACAAATTTTTTTTTCTATTTTCTTGTAAAGATGCTGTGCAGAGGGGTTACATTTACACGAGTAAGATAATGAGTACATTTCTAGTGGAGCATCGTTACCCCCTCCTTTTTCTCCCACTATCCCTTCTCTTTCCACCTCCCTCACCCCAAAGCTGTAAAGCTCATTTACAACATAGTGTCTTGTATCATTGTTGTAATGGGTCATCCTGTGTCCTTGTTTCAGCATTTTGTTATTCCCCTGCCACTCCCCAATTAGATAAATGTATAATAAGATACAATGTACAAATACAGTGACAAAAGGGATATACCACAGGAGGAAGAACATACAAAAGAAACAAAAAAATCACATAGTATCTTAAAAACAACAAAGTAAAACCTCTTGTGTCCATATCTTGGTGTTCATTTTGCTTAGCATCACCTTATATGGTCATATGTACATAGCTTTCAAGCTTTTCTGCTCATCTGATAAGATTATCCTGGATGTATACTAATTATTGCAAATAAGGGAAACTATGGGACCTATGTTTCTTTGGGTCTGGCTCACTTCACTTAATATGATTTTTTCCAAGTCTTTAAATTTCTTAACAAAGGAGGTGGTGTCATTCTGATGGAAGCAGAGAAATCCATTGTGTGTGTGTGTGTGTGTGTGTGTGTGTGTGTGTGTGTGTGTGTGTGTGTGTGTGTGTGTACACATTTTCTTGATCCATTCATCTACTGAGGGGTATCTGGGTTGGTTCCATATCTTAGCTATGGTGAATAATGTAATAAACATAGTTGTGCTGGTAAATTTAGTATAGCCTTCTTTGTGATCATTTGGGTAAAATGTCCAGAAATGGAATTTCTGGGAGCTCTGTACAGCAGCCTTTTCAGTAAATGATGCTGGAAAAAATTGGTTAAACACCTGTAGAAAACTCAAGTCAGAATCAACCCTGCATCAGAATCAACTCCAAATAGATCAGAGACCTCAAAGTAAAAGCAGACACCCTGAAAATATTACAGGAAGGAATAGGAGAAACTCTAGGGCTGGCACAGGCTGAAATTTTCTTAATAAAGACCCAGAAACACAACAAACAAAAGAAAGTTTGGACAAATGGGACTGCATTAAAGTGCAGAGCTTCTGCATTGCAAAGGACATAGCTAGCAAGATCAGTAGAAAGCATACAGATTGGGAGAAGATTTTCATTAGCCATACAACAGACAAGGGCCTCATACCTAAAATATACTTAGAACTCAAAAAAAAAATAGATCCCCCGAAAACAAATCCTCAAAGAAACAACCGCCCGATTAATAAGTGGGCTAAAGATTTAAAGAGAGATTTCTCTGAAGAGAAAATAAGAATGGCCAATAGACACATGAAGAAATACTCAACCTCTCTAGCCATAAAAGAAATGCAAATCAAAACAACATTGAGATACCACCTTACCCCAGGTAGAATGGCTATAATCAAGAACTCTAATAACAACAGATGCTGGACAGGATGTGGCCAAAAGGGAACCCTACTACACTGTTGGTGAGAGTATAAACTTGTTCAACCACTCTGGAAAGGAGTATGGAGATTCCTCAAAATCTCATAAATCTTTATATCACTTTTCTTTTTTTATTGTGAAAATACCGTACAGAGGGATTACAAATACATGGGCAAGATAATAAGTACATTTCTTATCAAGTATTGTTGCCTCCTCCTTTTATATCACTTTTCTAATCACAACTCAAATGAAATGCTTCTTTGTTTATTCCATGTGAGGAGCACTAACTACTTAAGGAGTTCAAAAAGACTGCATTTCAACTGGAAAAGAGCCTCCAAACCAGCTTGCATTAATGTATTTTGAATTCTGGGTGTTTCTTTGAAGCCTGAAATTGTTTAGACTTTCACAGAACTTTTCAATTGTTGTCCTTAAGTGGCTATCCCCTTTCCTTTTAATTAGCAATGAACTTTGAAGGCTTTAATTAACAGTTTGTCTTTATGTAAGAAGAGAGGTGGAGAAATTCTAAATTCACTTATTGGAATAACCTCCAGTCTCATTAAGCTCTTTCCAGCACGCTTTAGACAGTTAATTAGAATAAATGTATCTTTCATCTCCTCCTTTCTATATCATCTTAAAACAACAGAGCCAAGGAGCAATGCTAGCATAATCACACACAGTCTGAAAGGGTTCTAAACATACTAGAATCAGTGTCACTCTTGCCTTTGAATTAGTTCAAAGCAGTTATAAATTCTATGGTGTCTATTAAGGGCAGACTAGTAACTATTAACTCCACAGCACTTAGTAATTTATTGTTTTACCTATACTCAAATTGTGCTTTTATTGGTCTATCATACAATTCCAGCCCTTTGTGGGAATAAACAAACAATTGGAGGATTCTACCATAGTCTATGTTAAAATAACTCCCACAGGTTTATCTTAACCCACAAATTTATGAAGTAATTCATTTGTTAGAATAAAATTATTATTTCCTGATGGACAACTGCCTTTACTAGTAGCTTTAATCTTTCTTCTGATATTTAAATATGTGCAAAATGAATCATAGTTGTGTGTGTGTGTATGTGCACGCACGTGACCCAGGACTAGGGCTTGAATTTAGGGCCTGGGCATTGTCCTTTACTTTTGTCATTCAAAGATGGTACCTTGAACTGAGTCACAGTTCAGATTATGCAATTGCATTATCTATTGCCTTTACTGGACTGTTTACTGAATTCCGTTCCTCCCACAGCCTTGGACCTCAAATGCTCATACAAAGTATATATGAGCTCTATTCCAGTGACAATGAATATGTTTAGACTCATTCTTCAGTCTACAACTCACAAAATATTGGAGCTACAAAGATCTTAAGACTTACCTAGGTGTTTCAAACTCTCTATGGTATTCATAAAACATAACTAAGGCTTTAGGAGGTTAAGTGACTTTCTCAGCATTATACTGGTAATGACAAAACAATGATGTAACCATACATGCTCTAAGTACATTTTGCTCAGTGTTACCTGCAGACCAGCAATATTAATATCACTCAAAAGCTTGTTAGAAATACTGAATCTGGGGTCCAACCCCAGATCCACAGATGGGTCATAGATCCTCAGGTAATTTGTATGTCTAGCCTTTGAAAAGCACTGACCTTCATTGCCTTTTTGGGCACAGGAAGTGAGGCAAAAAGATATGATGTACTCCACGACTCCTCCATTTCTATATATAAGCAAGTATCTGGATTTCCTGAAGGCATCGCTTGTAATTTGAAAATAACACTACTCATCTTGTAGCATTTTAATTGCATAAACCTTTCATTCTTTGTGGATAATAGATGCAAAGACCCATGTATCTAGTACCTAAAGTAATGTGTATTTGCTACATGCTTTATTGTTAGTACCTGTTTTTTTTTTTTGGTGTGTGTGGGGGGGTAATGAGTATATTTTTTATTGAGCAGTGATAACCTCCTCCCTCATTTTTCCCTCCTGATTCCCCTCCCCTCCTCCAAGTTACAAAGTTCATTTCCAACATAGTGTCTAGTGAGTATCATGGTTGCATTGGTTCACCCTTTGTCCCACCATTTCTGATTCTCCTTCCCTTCCCCAAATCAGTTGAACTTATATACAAGACAAAGGGTACTGAAATAAAAATAACAGTGACAACAGGGAATAAGCCAAAGGAAAAAGAAATGAAAAAAGAAATAACTGCAAACAGTACAATAAAAAAAAAACAACCCTTGTTTCCATTTCTTGGAGTTCATTTCCATAGTTTCCACGATCTTTGACTTCTCGCTCCTCCCCAACCTCAGGCAAATGTTAAGGTAATTTCTGTCTCCAGATTGACCTGTTGTGGACAGTTCACAGACTAAGCACCTGAGAGTTCAGTTGAAGGGGTGTTTATCTGACAAGGGCAAACACAAGCTGGACTCTCTGAGCACCTGGATGAAGAGACAAAACCAAACCCTTTGCCTGTTCTTTCATTCATACAATTCTCTTAGTCATTTGCTTTCCTGTTTTCTCTGACCACTCTAGACTCACAGAAACTATTGACCTGGCGGCAAGGTCAAGTATTGCCACTTCATGGCTGTGCAATACCAAGAAGAAAGCTGTTACTGACTATGCATCTATGAAGGAGTTACTTTTCTTCTATCCTTTGTTCTAATGTTTTAACATTTTATTTTTATAGTATTGCATTTTCTTTTCAGAAATTATCATGAGAGAATAATTGTGGCCATTTTTAATAGTGTACATGAAATGAGTTTCCAAAGCCAAATCATAACCTAGTTCCTATATTATTTTGCCTCTGGGTCCCAAAGACCTGGTGTCTGGAAGTACTGATATTGTTATACAGCTACTGCTGTGATTTTCTCAGGCCATGAACTCCCAATACTGGCAACAGTAGAGTACAGTTAAAAGACAATGTTTCATGGCAAACATGTCACGTGTGTCAACAACAAGAAAAATAAAATTTAAAAAGGAGAAAAAATTAGAATCTAAATCTGAACCAGAATTTGGGGAAGTGAAGCACATTATGACTAAGAAACTATACTGATATTATTAAGAAATCAACTTGACAGTATGTTCTCAAATAAAATAAAATAAAATTAAAAAAAAAAAAGAAATCAACTTGAGGAAAATATCTTAACATCAATTAGAAAACCAAGATTCCATTATGTAATAAGCCTCACAGTACGTTATGAACAATTAAAAAGCTTAAAAGGAATGAAAGTTTCTGAGGAAGGCAATAAATTCCAGTAAAATTTAAATGATTCTCATTTGTATTGGGCTGCCAGGATGGAAAGCTAGGGCTCTCATTATATTTAAACCTGAAAAGAGTCAATACTATGAGTAACTGCTGGTTGTTGTTAATACAGAGTTGCAAAACTTGAAGAAGCAGATTTAACTTCAGTGTCTTCTTCTAGGTCATTCTGCCATTCCTCAAGGACTTATACAATAAGGAAAGGAATTTCTGGGTCATCATCCTCTAAGATGTTCATATGGACCAGTGGCCGGACCTCTTCATCTTACCGACACGATGAGAAAAGGTAAATGCCCAATAACTCTATATTTTACTGATTATCCAGAGAGGATAGAGACACTGGCTGGAGACAGGACAGTACCTCATATGTGTGAGGTACTGAGTTAAAATTCTAGTATGTATATGTATCTCTCTCCTCTCTGTGTCTCTCTCTGTCTCTCTAGCCTCTCTCTCTCTCTCTCTCTCTCTCACACACACACACACACATATGCAAAGTTTAAAATTTGAAATGTAGGAGCCTTATGTTGTCAAAAGCATGGAAAGAATAGTTTCAGACAAGTCTTTTTCAACTTACATGCTCACTGAAACAACACAACTTAGCAACACTTGTACTCTCTCACAAATCCTAGCTCTGCCTGCAGATATACATGAACCATTATCCTTTTCACATCCAAAGACTGTGCTTTAGTCTCTGTTGAGAGTGGCACAGAAGGAAAGCAAAAATGTTGATAGAAAGATTAGCTTGGCATTGGTGGTCATACTATACTCAGAAGACTGTGATTTGAGGATTGTGATTTCACCCTAGCCTGATTTGGAAAGTCCATGGGATTTTTATCTCCAATTAAGCAGCAAAAAGCCAGAAAAGGAGCTGTGACTCAAGTGGTAGAGAGCCAGTCTTGAGCACAAAAGCTAAGATACAGCATCCAGGCCCACTAAATGAAAGTCCAAATGGAGCATGATTTAAGCTTTTAGGGAGTGAATGCATCCATATGATTCTGCATATGCTTTTACTTATTATGATGCTTAAGATTTTGGCATACCAAGGGGTTTAACTCAGGGCCCTATGCTTGCAAGGCTGCCATGATACCATAAACCCATAATTACAGCACTGTTCTTTGCTGGATAGTTTTAGGATAAGGTCTTATTTTCTGCAAAATGTGCACCTGAGCTGCCATCCGCTTACTTCTAAAGTTTCTGTAATCACTAGCTGTTCACTAAGGTGTCCAGCTTCCCTTTTGGAGACAAAGTCTCTGGACATTTTCTCTCTGGGTTGGCTTAGCATGGAGACCTACCCAATGCTAGCTTCTGCATAGATGGGAATGACAAGTGGACATCATTCTGTACAGCTATAGTTCAATCCTTCAATTCTTAGCTTCCCACCTAGCAAGAATTACAAACATGAACTATTAACATCTGGATTAAAAGCATTTTTAAATATGTAGATTGTCTTCTTTTTTGTATTTTATTTGTATCCCTTTCTTTCTCACCTTATAATATTACTTGGTTCAAATGAAGTTTTTACCAGTATGCTGTAATTTATGCAAGCCACACATCAGACAGAATCTGATTGAAATCAGAATTGATAAATGGTGAAGGACACAAAAGGACCTGAGAGGTTTCTTTGAATATGGTTAGAAAGCTTATTTTTCATTTTGAAGCCTAACTTGCCCTACAGGTAAAATTCCTCTGAAAAAACTCCAAAAGCAAGGTCATTCATAATAAAAATTTGAAAGTTATTTAAATATTCACATTAGACACCTGTTAAATAAAGGTGTGTAATCTATCAGTATTTTTTAATGCTTTGACATACTATTAACTGAAAAATGCAAATCTGAATACAAATTATGATTGCAATGACACACACACACACACACACACACACACACACACACACACACACAATACATAGTCAAAAATCTGGAAAGTGAAGCTGGGTGCCAGTGGTTGATACCTATTAATCCTAGCTACTCAGAAGGATAAGGTCTGAGGATCATGGCTCAAAGCCAGCCCAGGAAGAAAAGTCCATGTGACTTTTATCTCCAAGAAACTACTCAGAAAAAGCCAGAAACGGTGCACAGTGGTAGTGTGTTAACCTTGAGCACGCAGTGCCCAGGCCCTGAGTTCAATCCTCATGATGGCAAAATAGAAAAAAACTGAAAGGAAATGTTTATATACCTTATGTGTGTGTTACTTTTTATATATTAATTTATAATAAAGTAACATATCTGTACTTTATATATATACTTAAAATATATACTTTAAAGTATACATAAAGTATATATATTACATTGATTATAGAATAAAATTACATATATACATCATATCACAAAGTAATATATATTACTTTAATTATAGAAAGAAAATTTATGACATTTAAGTGAAATTAAGCCCAGAAGGCAACTAATACCTGAACAAACACTGGTGTTGAGACATGGCTTTCTTTGCCCATCTCTAAGTTATCACAGACTTTTTCTCAATGCTCACTTATTTTTAGTGTGTTACTTAAAGCTCCCACGTTTTTAATATAATTTGTGTGTGTGAGAGACAGAGAGAGAAAGAGGGGGGGAGGGTGAGAGAAAGAGAGACAGAGACAGACAGACCACATGATAGAGCAATGACCTGTCCCTGGACTATTCCCCAGTTGTCACAGGAGTAATGTAACATTTAGATATTCTTATAAATTGTTCTTTAACAATGTAATCAACATTTTAAAAGCAGCTACTGTATACTATGTTTTATATAAAATATCAGTGTATGAGGCAAAAACTAGTATGCCTTTTTATATATTAGAAAGTAGAGGTATGAGGCCCTGGGTTCGATTCCTCAGCACCACATAAACAGAAAAGGCTGGAAGTGGCACTGTGGCTCAAGTGGTAGGGCACTAGCCTTGAGCTGAAGAGCTCAGGGACAGCGTCCAGGCCTAGAGTTCAAGCTCCACTACTGACAGAAAAAGAAAAAGGAAAAGAAAGAAAGAAAAGAAAGAAAGAAGGAAGGAAGGAAGGAAGGAAGGAAAGAAGGAAGGAAGGAAGGAAGGAAAGTAGAGGCACAGAGTATTTAAATAACTTCCAATAGTGCAACAGCTAACTAGAGATGGAATCAGGCTATGAACCCAAGCCTAGTTCACAAACTCTCTGAAGCTATGACTTGGGATTTTAGAAATGACTTTGAACAGAAAATGCTGTTGTCTCCAAGATGCTTTTAGTGGCACTAGTTAGGGTGAGAATGCAGATAATGATGGCTGATAGAGAATCAGGATATGATGGTCATTATGTTAGCAGTTTGGCATTGCTCAGCAGACACTGAAGTAAACTTCATTCTTTTTAACCTTACAATTAGTCCTTTCTCTGATCATTTCCTATGTGCAGAATACTAGTTTCTATGCATCCTCCATTCTACAAGCCCAGCAGTGAAGGAATATTTCTTCCTCTAACCAAACTTTTTGTCCCTAAATTGCAGGTGCTCAAGTAAAATAAGCAGTAATAACTAGTTATCCCAATGAGACAGAAGTTATTAAGCTAAAAACATTGCAAACAGTTTTTACTAAATATTCTTTGAGTTTTAAAAAAATAAGTAGTTAATAAAGTATCACATATAAAAACATATAACAAATGGTGTCATGAGCATCTGACTACTCACCATTTAGTTTAAATATTAAGCAATCAGAATTTTTACAACTTTGAGAATATGGCTCTAATACCATTCTAACCCCAACAGCACCCAAACCCCAATCCAGAAATAATCACTATCCTGAATTATGTTTCCTATTCCTTTGCTTTTTTCATGACTTTGGAGAGTTTATATAAATAGAATGAAATTAAATATGCTTTTCTGCAACTTGCTTTTATCACTAAACATTGTATCATTATGATTTACCAATAGTGATCTCAATGACTAGATATTTTCTCTGCTAGGTAGTATTCCATTGTCTAAGTAAACCATCATGTATTCATGCATCCTACTGAATATTTGCATCATTTCCTGTTCTTTTATCCTTAGCAATAATGCAGCCACATTGCACATGTCTTCTTGTATATTTGTTAGGAAGATAGATCCAACATTGAAATGGTTGATTCAAAAGTATGCCCAACTTCAATTTTATTAGTCAATGCCATTGCTGTTCCAAACCAGCATTCCTGTGACACCCATGGCTGGAAAGCTCTTTCTGGAGTACACCAACAGGTTGGTGCTCACCAACAGGTTGGTGAGCACCAACAGGTGCTCTGACTTTAATCTGAGATTCTTAGATAAGAAGAATAAGCTTCTTTCCTCAGTCTGTTTCTGTGATAGGACTATTTGAATATATGTTCCACTTTTCTACTGGATTGCTGGTTCTGTCCAGCAGATGCTGTGATGAAGGATGAAAAATTACTCAGGAAACAATATATTGCCTAGAAGAAATGAGTTTAATCAACAGACATGTTCAAACTGGAGTCTTTTCTACCCTCCACTTTTTTTTAAGGGCTAAAGTACTTCCTTGGGGAGGGTCTTGGTTGCAGATCAAAGGTCACATTCCAAAGGACTGTTAACAGGATATCAGGATGAAGTCAGATAAGTACACTCAGGCATTCTTCTTGTTTTTTGACAGGATTACAACAGAAAGTCTGATAGGCAGCAGAAATCCTGAGTCTTTACTCAGACACCAGATAAACATTCTACCAACAGTAGTTTCCTGCTGGCATCAGGGACACTACATGCACACTGTCCACTCACACTTCCTGCTTTCAAGCATAGTTAGCATGAGGATAGAAGGTTCCACATATCTCCTGTTTCCATTTTTAAAACAGCCATTTGTTATTGTGAAGAAAGCCAGCATGATCATCTTCATTCTAATCTGTTCTGTTCAAGAGATAGCATCACATATCACTTTAAAGACTGAAACAATAAGAACAATTATTCTAATAGTAAATAATCCATATTATGTAAAGGTTCCGTCCAGAGAAGTAATTTTTAAGGTTAAGCCAATTGAGATGGTTTTGTGGTTCCTTGAGTTCTGATTGATAAATATAGCTTTGAAGCTCATTTACTTGAGGTAATTAAGAATGTAACTTTTCCATTTCCTGCAGAGGGAATCAGAGAAACACCATGGAGATGTTCTTTCCTAGTTTCCAATCATGTGGAAGGAATTATAAAGTAAAGGAGCCACACATAGTTTTTCAAAACCAGGATCATACTGAGTTGCTGTCTCTCAAATAGATCCTGCTGCCATTCAATAGCTTGCACTTAAAACATCTAGCCTTGTCAGGATTATTTGGACTGTATGAGTTTGTCTTACTCAGGAAGTAAGCT